TCTCATCAAGAGAATACCACTTAGGTCTTTAGTATAAGTTTCATAATGTCGAATTTGTATAACATCTACAACACCTATTTTGATTGTCTATAATTTTTCTCTAACTGTTTAACACTTTTTAGGTCAACTAAAATTCATTCGGTAGTACTCTTTTTGTTTGTTTCATTCTTTACGCAAATCTTCAAAGCTTGCAAATCTTCCTCCTATTTCAACCATAATGGAACTATTTTAGCAATGTTTTCGGGTTGACACATCAAAGTATTCCAGACAATTAAAATTTAAGGCTGCCACTCTCCATATCACCTTACCTAAAACTTAAAAACAAAAGGAGGATTGGGTACGTGGAATTTAAGCTATCTTTCCACATTAATCTCAGCTTAACTAAACATACATTAACTACTCATATAGTATGCTCTGTGTGTGGATTACTCCCTCATCCCAATATTTATCAATTCTCTCATTTAGCTAAGTGCTTATGCCTGGCTTTAAATAATTCAGTACAATCGAACGTTCTTATGACCCTGCCCATCCCCGCATTAATATGAATATTTCCTAGGTCAGACTCCACACAGAAGTGCTCCCTAAAGGACACCAGTTTTACTAGGAGTTGAACTTTATTTAATAAAATTATGTATATGTTATGTTATAATATATATATAATATGATTGTAGGTGTTCACTTTTGAGGTAAAATTATATAATCGTAGGTGTACACGTACAATTTTATTCATATAATAGGAGAAGTTTGTTGTTGTTTTTTTTTTCCTGAGCAAATCATGTTCCCTCTGGTAAAGGGAAAGAACCATAAGCTGGAGGTTACTCATCCCGTTTTCCACTGACAGAGACTGCAAATCTCAAAATTTATTTGCTAATGTAAAAAAGACAATAAAACAAACCAACTTACGAATGTCTAGGACAAAGATGTCCAAACCCTGAAGCACATTTTAAAATGGCTGTTCTACCAAACGGTTTTTCTCAGGGTTACTGACCTGCACTCTGGTTTCAGTGTCACCAATGCGTCTTGCCAGCTCCCTTCTGTGGAGAGAAAACCCACAAATGTTTAGCAGGCGGAATTGTGGATGAAATGAAATGTAGTATGTACAATTTGTGCTTGTTTTCATATTTACCTTCTCCTCTCGCAACTCCCCCAACTAACTTTTTTGTAATTCCCAGCTCCAGGATTCCTTTACAAATGGTTTGTCCTCATCACAAAATTTAAGTTGGTGTTTCCAACTCAGTAGCAGAAAATAATTTTAATGCACTATTTAAAAATAAAAATTAATGCAAAAATCTATGATGAACAAATAATCAAAATGTTAAATAATGAAAGGATCTAGTACTGCAGTTGCATGATGGTACCTCATAATCCTTACCCTGACTCCAATAAAATTTTATTTACAAAAACAGGCCACCAGCACAGGCAATTAAAAGAAAAAATAGATAAAGTGGACTACCTCAAAATTAACAACTTCTGTGTATCAAAAGACACAATCAACAGAATAAAAAGGCAATCCACAAGAGAAATATCTGATAAGGGTTTAATACCCGGAATATAGAAGTATCTTCTACAGGGCCGAGCCCATGGCACACTCGGGAAAGTGCAGGGCTGGGAGCGCAGCACCACTCCTGCCGCAGGTTCGGATTCTATATAGGGATGTGCGGTGTATTCACTGGCTGAGGCGTGGGGCAGCCAGTCTCAAAAAAAAAAAAAAAAAAAAAAAAAATAGAAGTATCTTCCACAACTCAGTAACATCAACAACAAATACCAGATTTAAAATTGGGCTAAGGACTTAAAGACTCATTTCTCCAAAGAAGATATACCAATGGCCACTAAACACATGACAGAATGCTCAACATCACTAATTATCAGGGAAATGCAAATCAAAACTACAATGAGATAGCACCTCACACTATTAGGCTGGTTACTGTTAAGAAACCAGAAAATAAAAAGTGTTAGTAAAGATGTGGAGAAATTGGAACCGCCCACGGACTTTTAGTGGGAANCCCTGAAGCACATTTTAAAATGGCTGTTCTACCGAACGGTTTTTCTCAGGGTTACTGACCTGCACTCTGGTTTCAGTGTCACCGATGCGTCTTCAAGCTCCCTTCTGTGGAGAGTAAACCCACAAATGTTTAGCAGGCGGAGTTGTGGATGAAGTGAAATGTAGTATGTACAATTTGTGCTTGTTTTCATATTTACCTTCTCCTCTCGCAACTCCCCCAACTATACTTTTTTGTAATTCCCAGCTCCAGGCTTCCTTTACAAATGGTTTGTCCTCATCACAAAATTTAAGTTGGTGTTACCAACTCAGTAGCAGAAAATAATTTTAATGCACTATTTAAAAATAAAAATTAATGCAGAAATCTATGATGAACAAATAATCAAAATGTTAAATAATGAAAGGATCTAGTACTGCAGTTGCATGATGGTACCTCATTATCCTTACCCTGACTCCAATAAAATTTTATTTACAAAAACAGGTCTCCAGCACAGGCAATTAAATGAAAAAATAGATAAAGTGGACTACATCAAAGTTAAAAACTTCTGTGTATCAAAAGACACAATCAACAGAATAAAAAGGCAATCCACAGGAGATATATCTGATAAGGGTTTAATACCCGGAATATAGAAGTATCTTCTACAGGGCCAAGCCCATGGCGCACTCGGGAAAGTGCAGTGCTGGGAGCGCAGCACCACTCCTGCCGCAGGTTCGGATTCTATATAGGGATGGGCGGTGTGCTCACTGGTTGAGCGTGGTGTGGACCGACCAGCAACCATGCAGAGGGTTGTGATCCCCTTACCGGTCAAAAACAAACAAACAAACAGAAACCAGAATTATCACACAATTCAACAATTCCATTTCTGGGTATATATCCAAAAGAATTGAAAACATGGACTTGAGGTATTCATACACTCATATTCATAGCAGCATTATTTACAAGAGCCAAGAAGTGGAAGCAACCCCACTTCACAGATGAATGATAAAGACAAAATGTGGTACATACATACAATGGAATATTATTCAGCCTTAAAAAGGAAGGAATTCTAATGTGTGGTACAACATTCATAAACCTCGAGAATATTATGCTAAGTGAATTAAGCCAGTCACAAAAAGACAAATACTGTATGATTCCACTTATATGAAGTACCTGAAGTAGTCAAAATCATAGAGCCAGAAAGTAGGATGGTAGTTTCCAGGGGCTCGGGGTAGGGGAGAAAGGGGCATTTAAAGGGTATAGAGTTTTAGTTTGGCAAGATGAAAAGAGTTCTGGAGATCTACTGCACAACAGTATGCATATAGGCAACACTACTGAACTCTACTCTTAAAAAGTGGTTTAGATAGTAATTTTATGTTTAGGTGTATTTTACCACAACTAAAAAAAAGCAGAAACAGGGCCGGCCTCGTGGCTCATTCCGGAGAGTGCGGAGCTGGTGCAACGAGGCCGGGGTTCGGATCCTGTATAAGGATGGCCGGTGCTCACTGGATGAGCGTGGTGCAGACCACACTGGGCCAAGGGTTGCGATCCCTTTACCAGTCAAAAACAATAACCAAAAAGCAAAACCGAAAATGGCCACTGACCGTTTGAAAATATTAATTGCATGAAATATAAAACTGTATTATATTTTATTATATTTATATGTAAATACAATATTTTGTATTTTCATTAGTACTATATTTATATTAAATATTCATATGTATCAGATAAATATAGTACTGCATGAAAATATTTACCTTGATGACCAGAAGACATTCTCCACCACCCCACTCCCGCCCTAGCACAAAGGCAGGCGAGGACCCCCAGTGACTTGTGTCTTACGAGGGGATGGAGGGAGCCAGGCGAGAGAAAAAGGCGCCTGGAAACGAATTCAAACTCCGTGGAGAACTGGTCGCCTCCTGGAGCAAGCTACTTACCTTGTGAGCAAATCAAGGTACGGAGTGTCTCGGAAAACACTTTCCAGCTCCTGCAGCTGGAACGGCGTAAACCTATTGCGCTGGAATCGCGTCTGCCTATTCTGGTGCTGTGGACCCTGTGCAGCCATGTGGGCCTGTTCCTCCTGCTGCAGCTCTCTGGGCTCCTGATCAACGTTGCTACCCTCGTGGTTCATGTTGCCCTCGTGGTTCACATCGCCTTCAGGGTTCTCGTTGCCCTCCAGACCTGCAGCTCCTTCGCCAATGAGGCCTTCTTCTGCTTCTGGTGCCGTATCCCTCTCAAGGTTAGCCCTTACTTCCACCTAATTCACCCCCAGGCCGAGGTAGCTGTGGCCTGAGTTGATCCTGCGCTCCATGGCTGGAATGCTGTGCGCCTCTACAAAGTGTGCCGGGCGAGGCTAGAGCTGCGGCAAGAAGGTGGAGCTAGTTTTTGTTCTGGCGCTTGGTATTGGTTACAGGGGTTCTGTGTCAGGTTCTGTTTCGACGATGGCTGTTGGCTTTCTTTCTACCACCAGTTGATGTGGGCGGGACTTGCTTAGGCTTGCAAGTAGCCAGAGCGGGTCAAAAAATAGGGGCCCCATCGAGAAGAGTGGTGCAAATTGGGGGCGTGTGGGCATGCGAAAAGGGAGTCCCATATTCGTGGGCTTCTAAAGGAAACATGGGGCTTAGACACCTCACCTTCTGTGCCTAATGGATAAGTGCCCCCTGCCTCATATTTCCACATAATGGCTAAGACATCAGGTTTAAAATGGTGATTGATCAATTTACTTTCAGAAAGATGTCAGAGGACGTGTCTCTCTGACTTCTCAGACAGCCTCTCTCTGACTTCCACCAAGATACCTCCTCCTCAGTCGGGCTCTTGCTTTATTCTGCACCCCCCTCTCTCTCTCGGATAGTTCATGATCAACTTGCAGCCATATTACACGAGAGACCTAAAAGGGTTTTAATCCCGGTGAGCGGTAGAGTAGCTGGAACATCTATGACTGCTCTGTGTCCTAAACATCTCAGACTTCCACAGTGCACCCTAGTGTTTTCTAACTTTCATCACTCATAGGCACCTTAGCTGAGCGCTGCCCTGTGTGAGCACCAGACATGCTAGTA